AAATACCATATTCCAATTTTTTCCTAATTCTATTATAATCATTCCTACTGACTTTATTTAAAAAAAAACATATTTCTATCATGTCCAACTAGTAAATAAGTATCAAATTCCTTTTTTTCTAATTCTATGCTAGGAGTGCCTCATCATGATCATAGGGGCACGTCATTGCCTATGTCTCATCCATTGAGTGGCACGTCATTGCCTATGTCTCAGTAGCTAGTACGTACATATCGTGGTTTATACTTGTTACTTGTAATACAACGACGGGGCTGCCATAGGGGCGGGGTGGGGCGGCTGCCCCAGCTACCGGCGGAGTAGCCTCAGCCTCCGATTCGAGTCGCGCCGCAACTCCGCATCGACGTCAAGGCCGCCCAATGCCCGCCGCCGCCTGCCGGCAGCCACTACATGCCACGGCGCTACACCATCTGCCAGCAGCCGACTGGTGTTTAGTTGCGCCCACCAAGGAGCAGGACCTGGCGTAACATCTAGATTCGGTCGAGGCCGAGGTTCAAGCAGAGGTGTCAAAATGAGTGGCATTGGCAACAAAAAAATGGTATTGTTTTACAATTTTATCGGTTCATGAGCATCTCAAATTATAGTATGTGAATGCTGTGCGTCGTGAATACAATGCCAATTTGTTTCATATTTTTTTGAAAAGTTCGCCCCACCTAAATTTTTTTCCTGGCTCCGTCAACGACTTGTATGACTCATGATCCTGATCAATAATATCTGTTGACCTAATTTGTAGAAATTAATAAATTTTCTATTAACTATGTCCAATTAATACTTATGTTATTTATTATTATTTACTCTACATGGGCCCGTGACGTAAAAATTAATAAATTTATTACTAGTATTTTCAAGTTTCTGTTGTTTGGTCATTTTAGAAATTAATTAAAAGCTAATAATAAATGTTTTCCTTTAGGAGCCTCCCCAAATTTGTTCGTAAAAAATTTCCACCGCGCCAAACCCAGGTTCCACACCATGCGCGGCAATTTTTTTTTTTAAAACACAACATCGCCAAATTGACCGCGCGTCGGTCTAATAACCTCCTGTCTCTAGACCGCGCGTATCCCTCCCCCTCCCCCAATTAGATCGCGATCCATCTCCCAGGACCACGCGTATCCCTCCCCCTCCCCCAATTAGATCGCGATCCATCTCCCAGGACCGCGTGAGGGCCATGGCACCGCCGCCTATGCCACCTCGGTCCAGGACGCCCCCAACATCGCCTCCGTTGAGGACGCCACCGGCAACACCTTCAGGCATTACGGCGCTTCGTTCGCAGGGCATCAGCGCCAGCACAGACTCCACCGCCTTGGGTACCCACCGCCATCGATATACTGAGGCCACCCACGAAGTAGAAGACGATCTTGGGTTCTCTTCTCCATTTGTCCCCAGGTACATTGATTACTTAATCTAGTTTTTTTGATTCATGTTTAATCTCGCATCACAGCAAATTCTACAAATTGTGAGGGGTTTAGGGTTTTCAAGCATTTGCTGCTTGCATATTTTGGTCATGATAAAAGCACAATTTTTTTTCAATCTATGAGGATGGAATTGTCTGATTGTGTCATCAACTGGAACAAATTTTTTGGAACAAATTTTCTGATATTGAATGGATCTGGAACTCTGTCTTCAATGGGTTCACATCAAAGCTAGGCTGCAAAAATAATTGACAAAATAAAAGTATATTCAGTATATGTATGACAGGTTGACGTAATGTTGTCAAAATGATTAGAAACAAAGCCAATAGCTTCAGCATATGTATAACACTATACCTATGTCAAGATGTTATCAGTACTTTTTTTCACAGCTGCAACAGACACTGGCAAGCGTCAGGATGATTTCTTCAGGACTCGTAGTTATGTTCTTAGTAAGCATATATATGGTGTTTATTGCATCTTAGAAGGAGGCACATTTATTTAGTGAACAATTCAAGCAAAGATATGAGATTTGAACATAAATGTGAGAACTCTCACTGCATTTTTAGCGCTATCAGGGATCTTGCTCTGCTTGCTAGCTCCATGTTGTTTATGTGATTTCATACTTATTTGTTTTTCAATATAAAGATATGTGTTTATCGCAGCCCTGAAATTAATCTATCAAGCTCTTGAATGTTGGTAAATGCAAAGATATGTTACTGTACAATGCGAAGCTGTGAATGTTACTGACGTATTTGGAACATTGCCCATATACTAGCCGGACCATGTATTATGATAGTTTATATAAAATTAACTGCTTGTGTATTAGATTCAATTTGGTAATGGTGACTTGTGGAGGCTTGAGTTTGCATCTATGGTATTATTACACAAGCAATCATTGATTCTTGCAGAGGGTAGTTCCTAGCATGTCTATAGAATTGCTTCTGCATCACGCATTGAATTTCTCATGTTGCATGTGCCTGCTCTATAATGGGATTACAGAAACCATCTAAAATAGAATCTTGAATTCAATGATATTTAGTTCAATTACTTATATATATGTAATACTTTACCTTTTTTTATTCTTGTTTATTTATCAACCATTGTCCTATTTATGTAGTGGCACGGGCGAAATGTGGACTCTTTATGTTCATTGCAAGAATGGACTTCCAGATCAGGGTGTGGACTCTTTATGTTCATTGCAAGAATGGACTTCCAGATCAGGATTATGTAATGTTCAAATTGGAAAGGTCTCATATAAAATTGTCAACCTTGACATCTCTTAAGGACCAGCTTGGGTACAATGCCCGGGACTTCTTGTACTACAAGAAGCGTTGTGGAAGAGATGTTGCAAGTCTTCATCCCCTCGATTTTGTCAGACATGCAGAGATTATGCTACAAGACAATGAGAGTGAGAAGGAAATCAGATTAGTACTCTCAAAGAAACAAGAGACAGCACAGCAAGTCAGCATAACACCCCTCAAGCGACCAAGGCAGCAGCTGGAAGAAGATGAGCATCCGTTTATGGATGATCCTTTTGATGCATACAATGACTGGCTAAAGAAGCTACGACCGGAACAATCCAAATGTATATCATCTATGTTTTTGCATATGTTTTCGTATTAAGCATAATCTTAGCACCTTTATATAAACTACACCTCATCTTACATTTTTTTGGTGACTAACATATTTGAAGGATGACACTAGGCAACAAGCAGTCAACACGTACCAGGAATTTTTAAGGATGAAAGGGGACATTCCAGAAATTAGTAATTTATTTTCCTTCTTCAACCAATGTTGTTTAGTACTAATTTTTCTAAAACTGAACCTTTAACCTTGTGTGCAGTGGCATTTGTCGAGCAACGTGACACCGATGCAATCGTAGACGAAGACGACAAAAGCAATGGAAGCAATGCGACATCACCCTCAAATAGGGCAAGCCATGCAAGGAAGGCAAGGGTCGAGGGAAACGGTTTGTGATAATGCATGTATTTTTAATATTGGGTTCACATATCTTAATTGAGAACTACTACAGCTCAAGATTGTTATTGTCTTTTTTGCAAGGACATGGCTCCAATGAACGCAAGAAAATAGGTCGTGGCACTGTTAAAGGATTAACAGTAGGCAACAAGAGAGTTAAGGAATGCATTCACACACTCCCAATCGAATTTTCAGAAAGCCGTGGAGGACCCATTGGACCGAATACCCGTGCATTTGTCGATGAAGTCATTATATTCACAAGGCATTGGGCCCCACTAATTGGAGTAAACAGTTGGAAGGATATAAAGGAAGAAGTCAAACTAGAAATTGCAGAAGAGATACTGGTATGATGTGTACTATTTTTTGTTAAGGAACATTGCTGTTGCTCTTTTACTGTCCAAAAAAGTGAGTGTACAGATGTAGAAATTGTGATGTTGACATGTTGATTCATGCTAATGTCATTGTACTAACCTAATGAATTTATCCCTCAGATGCTATTAGATTTCTTTTCTTGATTGTTTCTTTCCTCATGTTTCTTCATGCCCAGCCATTGTGCCTTTTAGTTTAGATTTCAGCTGAAAGCATATTCTGTAAACCCTTCCCATTGTATACAGAAAGGCATGTTCAGTTAACCTCTCAAAGGAGAGTTATTTCTATGATTTTAGGATAGTGTTTGATCATTTATTTGACAAATTGGATGTGTGAAGCGAAGTGGATGATTTAGCTTTGTCATGTAGTATGTTTCATTAAATAAGTTTATTTCAGGCTCTCCAACTAGGATTAGTACTGTTGCACTGGATGATTAGTACTGTTGACCTGGCATGAATTTTTTTAATTTTTATGATTTATTTTTTCTACATGCCACCTTAGCGTTACCACGGGCATTATACTAGTTCTGATAAAACATTTCATTGCTTTTTAATTGTAAACAGCTTAGGTGGAACTTCATCAACATTGATGATGTGGATAAAAGAAAAAGAGAAAATATGGAAAATTGCCAAGGAGCGGTACAGAGGATGGCGATCTGATCTGAGTGCCACATACAGGGCTTATAATAGTTATGGTGAGAGGATACGAAATAAACCCGAATAAATACACCTTTTTGAGTGGCACTACTTGCAGTTGTATTTTGGATCTGATAAATTCAAGGTCAGTACTAGTAAAATCTACTTTGTCAAACAAAATTGATGGACCAAAGTTGCATTGTTACATACCACTTGTTCTCATTCTGCAGAAACTTAGCAGCTAGAACTCCTCCAACCGTCAGCAGCAAAGAACTAAGCATGTGATGGGTTCAAAGAACTTCTCACAATGTAGCTTTGAGCTGGTAATCATTAGATACACTAATCTAGTCCTTCCCTTGTACGATGCAATACTTGTGTGCTGAATTTTTTGGCATCCTAGAGAGACCAAGAAACTGGTGAAGAGCCAAGTGATCTTCTTCTTTGGAGGACCACTCACACAAAACATGGCGCATGGTCAAATCCTGTATCAGCTTCAGTATATGTAAGTAAATGTTTCGTCAACCTTTTTTATAGCAGCTGGTAGTGTCAAGCAACTCTTTACAGGTTCTATTATTTAATTTAGGAAAATGCAACCATGAAAATTGGTGAGATTGGATTAGAACCTGATAGACCAGCACTTACAACTGTTGAGGAGAACATGATTTTCCAGTCATGCTACAAAGAAACAACACAAATCAAATCATCCAAATTACATGGGCATGGATATTTGGCTACGTATCGAACTTGCAGAGAACTTATGAAAGAGAACCTTGAAGTACATGCACGTGCTCAAGCTGCAGCTAGGGAGAAGAGCATTGCTTTAGAAGCGGAGGTTGACAAGCTCAAAGAACAGGTTGCGCAAGAAGCTGCTGAAAGGGAAAGGGAAAAAGAAGAAAATAGGAGGAGGATGCAAGAGGAGCTGGAAAATGCTAAGATAAACTTAAGAGAAGAAATGAAGCAAGAATTTCTTAATATGCTAGCGCAGCACAAAGAAGGAGCTATGATTATGGTATTAGAATAATTTTTTATCCTTTGTACTCTTGATAATCTTATGATTGTGATGCCTAATCTTTCACCCCCAATATTTGTATGTATAGAGTACCCTGCAAAACAATGCCAGTACACAAGTTGCACCAACCATAGAAGAGGAAGATGAGACCGGTGGACATGAAAATGAAAATGAAGATGGGTTACAGGAGGTAATGACATTATTTCACTATGTTCCATGTATCTTGAGCTATGTACCTTGAACTGTAGCTAAAATAGATCAAACAACTTGATGTAGACTCAGCCTGGAAGCGTTGTCACCGTACAAAAAGATGCACCAGCACCTACTCACTCCACTAGAAGTACTGCACCTCCCAGCAGAGCTCTTTTCAACGAAAACACTGCAAATGTGATTGCATCGAACACATATATCACTTCACAGCAGCTAATGAATAGGACAAGAAATAATCCCAAAAGGAGGAAGGTAACAACCAGCTAATTGGAATCTAAATTCTTGCATGATTTAATGAAATTTTATCAAATGTGACCTTCCTTGTTGAACTAGGAAATGTAGAAAATACATTGAACATGCAAGCTGAAAACTGCAGCTTGTGCAGGTTTGATTGGGTGAGTTGTTCTGAGTAGTAATCTATCTTTTCTGTGATACTTGATAATACAAAAGTTGTAGAGGGTTTAGAGATGTTTGTCATCGTGAAAGGTCATGATTTTAGACCTAGAGAATTCAGAGTTATGAATTTTGAAAGTAGCCGGTCAGGTTTTGACCTTGGTCTGGACAACAGTGGGTGTTTGTGTTTTTTGACCATGATAACTGCAGAATCTTATTTAACAAATAACTAGAAAGATGTAGAGAATTTCATGGGCTTTCCGTATTGTTAAATAATATAATTTTTTGTTGTCTACAACTCAAGTTATGATTTTTCTAATCAACTAAACTGCTGCTGCCTTAAAAATTCAAAGAAGGCAGCTGCTACTATAACATATGCAGTAGCTGCATCTGATCCATTGAAAAGGCCACGATGGATAGGATCAAAGCCGTATTATCTTCTCCATCCCTCCCCAAGGCTTGTTGATAGACTCTCCTTCTTTTAGGAGAATTTATAAAGAGCAAAAGAGAATGCATACATCTTATAATGCAATTAAATGGAACACAGCTGCATGTGTCAGCTAGACTGCTACAAAAACTTGTATTACTCAATAGAACCATGCCTTCAGTATGTAGCCTGCAAAAAAATATAGATTATAATTTGTAAAGTCAATTGAACTTATATAATCGACCTATACTTACACTGAAATTTTGCTAAAATTCCCAGCCATCTACGCTTCCAAGGAGTAAGGATTGCTGACATCTTGAACAACATTTAAACTCTGAAAAGAGAGGGATATACAGAGACCAAAATAAAGATTGAGAAAGTAGGGAACAAAATATCAAGTTATTGTGAAAACAAAGAATGCTATTTTCATGGAAAAACATAATTGTAATAAGCATACAGTAAGAATTTGAGTAAAACTAGAAATTGATTCATACATTTGTGGTTCTACAACAATGGAACGTGATTCCATCTTTTTCATGGAAAAAGGAATTGCAGCAACTAGACCGACAACATTTGCTCATTTGCAGAATTGCAGTAGAACTTCAACTATGCAAAAGCTTGGTTGATGGCTTTTGTATATGAAATTATAACCATTTTATATCTTCATCTCTTTACATTTGTGCAAGAATTAGTAAACTTAATATTGTTCTAATATCCCAATCATATTCTTTTGGCAGTAGGTGGACAAGGTTTCAGTGGGAGGCTCAAAATCAAGTGAGGACATAGCCGAGGAGATGACATGTTGGGCTGCTAGGAATTTCTCAAGTGATGCATAGATGTTAGGAAGTTTGTAAAAAGTTGTCAAATAATGAGTTAACTGTACACTCATTTATGATTTTAGCTACTATTTCATGGGTTTGGCAACATATTGAATGATTAATTATAATTAATATATGTGAGTGCAATTGCTTTTGATATGGTTTATTGATTTGCAATGATGATTTATTAAACCAAAATTAAATGTTACTAGCGTTGCAATAAAATTGGGCCTATTGCAACGTTTTCTCGTCGTTGAGCAAGGGTTAGAAGTTTCTAGTGTTCTGGAGTTGAGGACTCCGTCGCTGATTTGATAACCGCTTAAGAGGTAGAAGACATGGCCGGCTCATCTAGGACGTGGGATTTTGAACCTTCGCTTATGACGAAGGACATGATCGAGGAGTGGCGGCAGTTGGTTGCTTTGGTGATGCTAAGGTGAAGCCTCTAGAGGGGGAGACGATTCCTAAGCCGAGTTTATCCAAAAAACCATCAAGGTGGACCTACATGTCAGATTTAATTGTGCTTATCTGCAGCGAAACGGACACCAAAAGACTCAAGAAGACTCGGGAGGACTCCACACCGAAGCAGAGTGTAAGCCGCCAAGCCCCTGATGCCCACCTGTCAGCCCCTCGTTGTACTGTCAGTTCCCACCGCCTCCTAGGTTGCATCTACGCCGTCCTTTAAGTTGGTTTGATCCAAGGGCTCATGTTGGATGCTTCGGCCTATATATACCAGTCCCTGCCTCCCTAAGGCATTGCATAAGTCATTTGAGAAGACATAAACCCTAATCATCCTTAGAGCTCCACCATATTCTAGGGCATACCTAGTTAGGCTAGGTCTAGTGGGAGGCAAGCAGGCTTCGCTTGGATTCCCGATCTTGTCAAGAGCGTGGTCTAGTATAATGTTTGTACCCCTCTCTCTTTTGCATCTCCATTACTTTTATATGCTAGTTACAATTGTTATGACAATATCAGTATTCATCTTATTCAGGTTCTTTGTTATAATGTTCATGGTCTAATTTGATAATATGCTTAGTATAATGTTCATGCTCACTCTATGGATCCAAGGGTGGATGGTCGACATTGTGTAAGCGTGGTGCTTATACGTTGTTTACCTATGGATACACCTTATATTCTAGGTCTTGTGGTAGATCGCGGATGTGACCCTCCCGTTGAGTCCTTTGTAGTCCACTCCCCAAATATAGGCGCACGTAGGGTTCGGTTACGAAGGAAGAGCAAGCTCTGTTCTTAATCTTCCTTAGTAATATCCCTTATGTATAGATATGACGATGATCTTAGCAATGGTTACTAGGTATAATTGTACTAATCAATGTATGCTTTGACTTGTAATTAAGAATGACTTATGAATTATCCCTCTAATATTCTACCTGACCATGCTAATGCCATAGAAAGGAGTACTCTGAGTGATTTACCATTATGATTAATCAATACTCATCATATATATATATATATATATATATATATATATATATCTTATCCTATGACTTACCCCTATTATGAGTAGAATATTAGTTACAATTTATTTCTCTATCAATAGTATAAGTTATCAATACATGTCCATGCTAGACCTTCGCTGTGGTAAAAATATAAATAACGATATCTGGAATACTCTCGGGTAAAATGCTACAATGGTATATTATCTGTGCGCTTGTAGATCCTTTTCATTCATATATTTATTTATTTTTCCTAGTCAAATAATTAATAAAGAACTGCTTAGTATTATTCTAGTAGTAATGCTATGTAGTACCAACAAGTATCTTTGATATCATCACTTGGGATGACAACCTAGTAAAGTTAGGAGATATAGGTTTATAATAGGTTCCTATCTAAAAACAAGTGACGCATTAATAAATACCAACAAGCATTTCTGACGCTATTGCTAGGGACTAGATTTAAAACTCTGTTCTTAGTAGCAACGCTAAGAAATGTCAACAAGCATTTTTGGCGCCGTTGCCAGGGAAGGTAGCAAGGCAAAGGACATATTGATAAACTTATACTTATTGATGTGATCGAAGATAACCATTGACTTCTGCTCAAACAGGCTTACCCTTGTTTTGTCTACTTCTGTATCTTATATAGGGTAATGTATGACTGGTTTTGACCTTTCGACAAACTACATTGAAGATCCAGAAGCATTAATCAGAAGGACTAGAGCCAAACTCAAGAAAGTTCCAGCTTCAAAGTGGGAAGACAACCATATAAGGCAAAGCTTAATACCAGAATTTGAAGTCATGGCTAACAGAACTCTCTGTGAATTCTCTGCTCCAACTACAACCAACATCCATACTGGACCAACCGTTAATGTTGAGACAATAGATTCGAGTTCAAGCTAGCTCTCATCAACATGGTGCAAGCAAGCTAGTTTTGTGGAAAGGCACATGAAGATGCGAGTGCACATCTCTAATACTTTCTGGAGATCTATAGCACTTTCACCATCAAAGGAATAATGTAAGATGCCATACTAGTTCGCCTTTTACCATTCTCACTCTTGGGGAAGGCAAAGCAGTGGTTCTATGCCAATAAAGATAGAAATACTATATGGGATAACTGCTCTACTGCCTTCCTAGCAAAATTCATTCCCACAGGCAAAACCAATGCTCTATGTGGGAGAATCTCAAGCTTTTACCAACAACACGATGAATCTATACCTGAGGCATGGGAACACTTTCAAGATTACATTGCGGGATGTCCTCATCATGGGATGGAGAATGTCCTCATCATGCATACTTTCTACCACGCGTTGACCAACAGTACCTATGAGACTATGGATGCTGCTACTGGAGGTGCATTCCAATCACTCACCATACCAGCTGCAATAGCTCATGTGGAGAAGATGGCCTCCAATCAAGGCTGGAATGAAGAATGTGTTCAAACCCACAAGATGGGTGGAGGTATGCATCAACTCAAGGAGGTATATATGCTATCTGCAAAGATGGACCTACTGATGAAGAAGCTTGAAGATCGAGACAATGAGAAGCAAGAAGTCATGCATATTCATGATTCTCGCATGACATGTGAAGTTTTTGGAAATATTGGGCATTAAGGGAGCAACTACCCTGAGACCGATGAGGATGTGAATTTTGTCAACAACAACTACTACTTTTGTCCTCAGTAGAATCAACAAAGGCCGAACTATCAAGGTAATAATTTTAATAATTTCAATCAACCACCCTTGAGAGAATTAATTGCTGGCCAATCCAAACTTATGGAGGGATTATCTAGAAAGGTAGCTACCAATGATAAAATTCTAGAGAATATAAATAATAGAATGGATAGCTTTGCTTCTGCTATTAAGAACCAACATAGATTTAATAAAATGATAGAATCACAAATAGCTCAGTTGGTTGCTGTTGTTCCTCTGACCGACAAAGGTAAGATTCCGAGGCAACTGGAAGATCTATAAACTGCAAATCTTATCGATATTCACAATGCAGCATATTACTGTATACAACTTTCGATAGGAAGGTGGATAGATTATACCTTGCCTGAAAAGAAGAGCGATCTAGGGAGACCTGTCATCCCCATGGCCATTGGACCTCACATTTTCCAAGAAGCTATCTGTGACTTCAAAGCAAGTGTCAGCATTATGCCTAAGGTAATCTATGATCAAATTAATGGAGATACTTTGTTGTACACAAATTTGCATTTATAGCTTGCAGATCAGTCACTCTGTTACCCTAAGGGAG